TGCAGCCGCCCCCGCCCGCCCCGGTGCTCCTGTACGACCAGGGCGGGGGCCGGCGCCGGCGCGGCGACGCCGAGGCCGAGGCCGAGGAGTGGGAGGCCGAGTCGGTGCTGGGCACCCTCCTCCAGAAGCTGCGGGAGGAAGGCTACCTGGCCTACTACCTCCAGGGTAGGTGCCGCGGGCGGGAGGAGCGGGCCTGGGGGTGGGGGGATCCTGCTTAACCTGACCTTGGGCGAGCCCCACCTCACTTTGTCTGAAGTGGAGGTGAGGCTCCCTCCCCGATAACCTTGAGGGAGGGGAGTCTGGGTATGACCTTGGGCGAGTCCTTCACCCTTCGAAACCCGGGATCCTGAGTCTGTAAAATGGGGAGAATTGGGCTGATCCGACCGAGTTCACAGGATGTGCAAGAACAAAGTGCCAAGTACAGGCTCTCCGGAGTCCCCAGGGATCGTGTCCCCACCTCCCCCAGGGGCTCAGGGAGCAGGGGCCGGGCGGGGGTGGGCAAGGGAACACAGGCTGATATGGGCATGTTGGCTCCTTGCAGAACCAAATACCACCCTCCAGGGCTAGAACAGGGACACAGTTCCCATGAACCCATAAAGCCGGCTGATCCCACCACCCCATCAGTCTCGCCAAAAAGGGCCATAATGCCGGGCTCGGTGGCACAGCCTGTAATCCCGCGCCTTGGGAGGCTGAGGTGAGTGGATTGCCTGCGCCGGCGGGTTCGAGACCCGCCTGGGCAACTTGGCGAGACCTCATCTCTACAATAAATCAAAATGAGCTGGGCATGGTAGTGTACGCCTGTAGTTCCAGCTACTTCGAAGGCTGAGGCAGAAGGATTGCCGGAGCCCAGCGGGTCGAGGCTGCGGTGGCCGGGAGCGGCCACTGCACTCCAGTCTGGGTGACAGAGTGAGACTCCAACTAAAAAAAAGGGGGGGCCGTATTGGGAATATATGCGTGTATAGTGTCCAGTTTCCAGGCCCCCACCCAAGCTCCCCACCTCTTGGTCACATTGGATCAGGAGACACCTAGGCAGAGAATTGACATCTGAACTTCTCCTCTTCTTTAACTGATGGCCACTGTCCTCTCTGAGACTGGCAGTACATCTAGACACCTGCCTCAGCAGGGAATGAGATCCTCTCGGGTGGCTCTGCGTGGGCCTGACTCTTTGACCCCCAGCAGCTGCAGTGGGCCCCCGCTCTCGAGAGGAATAGTCAGCAGTTCGAAGGTGGCCGCCAGGGCAGTTCAAGCTACTGGTTTTTGTGTTCCCTTTGGGGATACCTGCAACCTCCTCCTTACACCCAGCCAAGGTCACTTGGCTGCCCAGGAGGCCGGGTCAGCAGGTCCCACCCCCTCCCCCACAGGTGGCTTCAGCAGGTTCCAAGCCGAGTGCCCTCACCTGTGTGAGAGCAGCCTCGATGGCCGTGCGGGCTCCAGCGTGGCCCCAGTGCCCAGCCCAGTGCCCGTGGTGGGGCTGGGTGGCCTGTGCCTGGGCTCCGACTGCTCCGACGCGGAATCCGAGGCTGACCGCGACTCCATGAGCTGTGGCCTGGATTCGGAGGGTGCCACGCCCCCGCCCGTGGGGCTGCTGCCATCCTTCCCTGTCCAGATCCTGCCCAATCTGTACCTGGGCAGCGCCCGGGATTCGGCCAACTTGGAGAGCCTGGCCAAGCTGGGCATCCGCTACATCCTCAACGTCACCCCCAACCTCCCTAACCTCTTCGAGAAGAATGGCGACTTTCACTACAAGCAGATCCCCATCTCCGACCACTGGAGCCAGAACCTGTCCCAGTTCTTTCCGGAGGCCATTGCGTTTATTGGTGAGTCCACCGGGCCTCCCCTTCCAGCCTCTCCACCCGCCAGGCCGGCTCCTGGGCGCTCCCATTTCTTGCCTCTCAGGAGAATCCCTCCCAGGCATAGCGGCCATTCCAGAGCCCAGAGCCAGGATGGCCCTTCTGGGGGGCGGGCAGAGCCCAGATCAACTCCCACAGGCTGCCAGTGAAACCTCCAGGAGTCCTCAGGCTGGACAGGGCACAGAGGGCAGGGCGAGGGCCTCGAGGGCCTTGGTGGAAGGCCTCGGCCTCACTCACGCTGGCCCTCGGGGTCTCTCTGGCCCTGCCTGCCCCCCAGATGAGGCCTTGTCCCAGAACTGCGGGGTGCTCGTCCACTGCCTGGCGGGGGTCAGCCGCTCTGTCACGGTCACCGTGGCCTACCTCATGCAGAAGCTCCACCTCTCGCTCAATGACGCCTACGATCTGGTGAAGAGGAAGAAGTCTAACATCTCCCCCAACTTCAACTTCATGGGGCAGCTGCTGGACTTTGAGCGCAGCCTGCGGCTGGAGGAGCAGCGCTCGCAGGGGCGGAGCAGCGGGGGGCAGTCATCCGCCCCCTCCGACCCGCCCTCTTTCTTCACCACCCCCACCAGCGACGGGGCCTTCGAGCTGGACCCCACATAAGGCCCAGGCCTCGGGCTGGCCCCCGCCCCCCCAGGGTGTTCCCGACCACCCATGTGCAGGGGAGGGCAGGGCGGTGGGGGCTCAGCCGCAAGCAGGGGGCTGGGGAGGGAGAGCGCAATACCTCACGCGGGCTGTGGGAGAGGCAGGACCAGCCAGGCCTGCCCCCCACCGGAGACCTCCGCGGGAACCCCATTCAACGTGCCTATGGGCCGGCCGGGGCCGCCGGCCTGACCTGCGTGGTTCGGGTGGGCCCGCTCCAGAACCTGCCTCTTCTGCGACTGTTACTTTTTCCTTCGGGGGGTTGGGGGTGGGGGTTCCTTCTCCCAGGACCAGTCCAGGTGGCCGCCTGCTCCCTGGGCCCGGGCCCCGGGTGATCCGCCAGCTCGGCGGGGCCCTGGGCCTCCCTGCAGTTCCTCCTTCAGGAAGGGCGTGTGCCATCCCATTTGCCACAGGGGCTGGTTCCCAGTCCCTTCTCTGTCCCCAGATGGCCGCCTGGGGGGAGGAGTTTGCCACCATCACCAGTGGCGGCGTCGCCCTGCTTCTCCGCCAGGGCTTTGGGCCTCTCAGAGGTGCGATGGCTGCCTGGCGTCCATGGCCTGGGAGCCACTGGGCAGGTTCCCGGCCACACATCTGGCACCCTGACTGTTTTTTTTTCCTCCTTCCCAGATGTCCTGACGGGATCACTGGGGCCCTTTGTGACTGGGGGTGGTCAAACTGCCGCGCTGCCGCAGGAGATGGGGTCTCAGAGTGAGAGCGGGGGAGGGGGAGGGGAAGAAGAAGGCCTGGATTTTGCTGCTGCGGGGCCCACAGGGTCGCTGTTGATTCGGGGGGCGGGGAAGGGCCAAGCTGCAGACACACACAGGCATTCATGGCAGTCCACACCCGAGGCCGGCGGGAGGGGGGATGTGTGTGCGTGCGTGCACGCTGGCACTCACGCATGCTAGCTCCGGCGCACCTAGCCAGGGCTGGTAGTGCTTGCGGCGGGGCCATCTCACCCTTGAACCTGGAGGGGGGTCTGTGCTTGTTTGTTTTTGTAATCCACATCACAGTTGCTTTCTTTCATTGTTCCTCCTGAATAAACGGTTTATTTAAGATACTGAGCTGAGAGGGAAGCTGCTTCCTGAGCGCCTGGAGGGTTTGGGGAACGGACAGGGAGGCTACCCGCCCCCTCCGCACGGTCTCTCGCCTGCCCACGGGGCAAGGGGGTGTGCTGGGCTGGTCAGGGACTCAAGTGCCACCCCGCTCCCCACCCCATGTTCTCATTTCCTGTCTAGTGCCTGTTGGCCCAAGCCCTGAGTCGCCCATTCATTCACTGCCCATGTGAGCTCCCGCTCCGTGCCACACGCTGTGCTGGGGACCAGGACACAGCAGTGAGGTCTGACTGCTCTCAGATCTGGAGGGGGAAAACGGATACACAATAGACACAGTGAACAAAATAGTTACGAGGTGTGTGTCCAGGACAGAGCAGGGGTCCAGGACTCAGTATTGACCTTGGAACTTGGCAACCGATCCCTGAGACACCAAGCCCTGCTGAAAGCGCTCCTGAGTGCAGCCCTGGCTGGGGGTTATCGTGAGGATGATGGGAGCCACAGAAGGACCCAAGCTGGGGAGGGACCTGGGCGGACTGGCATGTTGGAGTGTTCCCTGACTAACAGTATGGGATTTGGCCCCCTTAAAGGTACAGATGGGACCTGCATCTCTTGTCAGCTTGGGATGCTGCCAGTGTCTTCGCCACACCATAGCTGGAGGGGTCTCTAAGCTGGCAGAAGGGAAGGGCACTGGAGAGTGGCGTGGCAAATGCAGTCTGAGAAGGCAGTGGAGGCCTCGTGAGCATCGCGGCCCAGGACTCCTAAAATGTAGGGTGAAAATCAAAAAACACAGAGGGAAAAGCAGCGCAGCTTTAAGATGTGGGGCTACTTGACTCGGGGGAGTGAGCCAGGCATGGGGGCCCGGGCATCTCCTACACCCAGGAGCTTCCATGAGGGATGCAGCCCTGCTCATGCCTTCATCTCACTCCAGTGAGGTTTATTCGGTATTGCTGGCCTCCAGAACTATAAGAGAATAAATCCGTGTTGTTTTAAGCCCCTAAATTTGTGGCAATCTGTTACAGCCGCTACAGTAAATTAATACAATAGATAATCCAGAAAACAAATACTCCAGGCCGAATGGTGGCCCCTACCAGCCTGGGAAACACAGCAAGACCCCATCTCTACACAAAGTTTAAAAATTATCCAGATGCCATGTAGTCCCATCTACTTGGGAGCCTGAGGCTGCAAGATTTCTTAAGCCCAGGAGTTGGAGGCTGCAGCAAGCTATGATCACCACTGCACTCCAGCCTGGGCAACATAGTGAGATCATGTCTCAAAAAAAAAAAATCCCAAAGAAAGCGGTGAGGATGTGTGCTTATCTTGACCTTGGATCTGGATGGAAATGGAATAAAAAGAAAATACAACCCCTCTCTCCCCCCAAGATTTATAGGCACAAGCTGACATCTTCTTTTAGAGTGGTCTAGCATAAAGTAGTAGATGCTTCAGAATTTCCCCCTTGGAAGGATGTAGAGACAGTAATCTAGTTGAGGGGAAAGCTTCCGGACTTGCCTGGAAGCTGCATTTGATTTTACTTAGATTGTGAGAGCCCAGTAAAAATAGTAATGTTTAAAACACCAGTAAAACAGTATTTGTAAGTTCCAAACAAAGTGGTCCAGAAGTAGTATTGTTCCAGAGTGCCCAGCAGAAGCAAGCACAAATCCACTGTGGAGGGGTGTCCTTGAAACACAAGCCTCAAAGCATCCCTATAGAAAATTCTAAAATATATAACAAAAAAACCCCACAAAATGTACAAGGAAAAAGTCACCAAGAGTAAGAGAAACATATAAGCATATAAATATAAGCATCAATCCTGAGGCGACAGCACGTTTTGAAATTATATGACACAGAATATAAAATAAGTATGATTAATATGCTGAAAGAAATAAAAAGAAGTATTGGAAGTCTAAAATAATAAAAGAATATAAAATGACCAGGTACTCTTGAAAGAAAACAAAATAGACCTACCAGAAATTAAATATATAACAATTGAAATTGGAAATGCAAAGCATGGGTTAAACAGCACATTAAACATAGTTGAAGAAAGAAATAGTGAACTGGAAGATGAATTTAAGGAAATTATCCAAAATGCAACATGACAGACAATAAGATAGACTGAGGTCACACATATATTTAGTTGGATTTCTAGAAAAAAAAGAGAGAATGGGAAATATACAATATTTTAATAGACAGTGACAGAAATTTTCAAAACTGATACACATTGTAGAAGAGACTACTAGGTGTTCCCCAGTATCCATTCTCCCCTTCTCCCTTTTGGAAATAAAATGCCCAAAGGTTCATAAAATATCTAGCTTCCCAGCTAGAAACTCTTCCCCATCCTCCATTGCAGCTAACTGTGGCCATGTTCTTGCATAATGTCTACTTTTTCCATTAGCGCTCTTAGCATTTTAATCATAGCTCTTTTAAATCTTTGGTCTGATAATTTCAACATCCTTGACATATCTGAGTCTGATTCAGGTGCTGACTCTGTCTTTTCAAACTGTGCTATTTTTCCCCTTTAGTATGCCCTGTGATATTTTATGTTGAAAGCTGAACACGATGTGCTGGGTTAAAGGAACTGCTGTAAATAGGCTTTTTGTAATGTGGCGGTAAGGTGTGGGGGAGGGAACATGTTCTCTAGTCCTGTGGTTAGGTCTCAGTCTTTTGGTGAGCCTGTATCTCTGGACTGGTTGGTTAGGCTCTAATAAAACCCTAATAGGTTAGACTCGAGTGAGATCGTTTCTCTTGAGGGCTGGCCTTGTTAAGAAGAACAGAATGCTCTGGACATATTTCAAAATGTCTACTTTCCCCTCCCCCTGCCAGAAACATGAGAAGATTTTTCTTGCCGTGAGACCCTGGCGGAGCTCTGGGTGGCAAAACTCACACAAGCTTGGGAACCCTCCTGAGACCACCCCCGCCCTGGAGTTTTGACTCCAACTTGTCCATTCAGCGATGACAGTTCCCACATTCCTACCTTGGCACCAGTTCCCTCTCATGGGTGTCTGCGCTGGTGGGTTGTGATGCTCTGTGTGTCCCTGTCTGTTTCTCCAGTTCCAGGGACAGCAATTTGCCTGGTGACCTCAAGTCTTTGATAAATCTAAGAGGAAGAGTTAATTTTCCAGTTTGTTCAGCCTTTTTTTTTTGGAGTCAGGGTCTTACTCTGTCACCCAGGTTGGAGAGCAGTGGCACAATTACAGCCCACTACAGCCTTGACCTCCTGGCTCAGGCAATCCTCCTGTCTCAGTTTCCCCAGGAGCTGGGACTACAGGCACATGTCACCACACCCAAGTAATTTTTGTAGAATTGAGATCTCACTCTGTCTAGGCTGGTCTCAAACTCCTGGGCTCAAGCGATCCTCTTCCCTTGGCCTCCCAAAGTGCTGGGATTCAAGGCGTGAGCCACTGCACCCAGCCTTGTTCAGCTTTTAGTTGTTAGGACAGATGACTTCCAAACTCCTTACATGCTGGACCAACAACAAAAACTCCCCGGGTCTGTTTTTATTGGCTGTTTTTCCTTCTCATTATGGGTCACATTTTTATATCGCTTCTACCTCAGTCAGAAGCCTGAGTGGCAGAGTTCACCTCGTTTCCTTTCTCTCAGGGACCACCATTCTTCACTGACTGCTGTCCACCATCTGAAAACAACTGATTCATATATTTTGCCAAGTTTTCTAGTTGTTAATTCCGGATCCTGTTATTCTATTCCCTCCTGGTTATATCAATATTGAATGACTTTAAGCTTTGTTAAGGTAAATACACATGCTATATTTTCGAGGGTGACTAGAAGTAGAATGTACAATTTCTCAGCTAGTAGAGGAGAAAATCAAATAATGAAGGAAAATCTCGACTAAACAGTTGAGAAGGAAGGAAAGTCAAGAAAGGGAAATAAAGACACAGGAACACTGGAGTAAGTAGAAAGCATAATATAGTATGCCAAAATAGATATGAAATCCATTAAGCAAAACAATAGGTGAAATTCTCCAGTTAAAGCAAGAGTTTTAAGCATCCAACCACAAGCTGTTTCTAAGAGATTCATCTAAAGGACAGAAT